ATTAGGCCCTGCGATCCTGCGAATTGGGCACCATCTGCCTCTATGAGGTGTTGTGGGCATTAAAGCACAGGGCCTGGTGCACGGTAAATGCACAATAAACGCTAGCCAGTGTGATGATGGAAACAAGTGCATCCTAAGCCCTCTTCTCAGGCTGATTCTCAAACTCAGTCATGAGCCAAAAGAGCTAGTAGTTTCCATCCGGGTCTGCTCCGCTGCTCACTTATAACACACCCTCAGACAAACGGATTCACCTCTCTGGGCCTCCTCTGTCTCAGTACGGATGCAATGAATGGTGGTTACTGCTACTATCACCACGGTAACAAATGTGATTATTTGCCAATAGTGTAAGATTGGGACATTGTTGGTCCAACTGGCCTGAAAACTTGGGCTTCAGTATTCTTCTTGAGCGAAGTTTGCACTTCCCAGCGACCCTTAGGGCCTCCCTCTCCTTGGTGCTTCTCAGCATGCCCTGCTCCCGTCATCACCGCCTCACTGCTGGAGTGAGGAGGCTAAGGACACAGACTCTGGAGCGCAACCAATACCCTGCAGCACTGCTACCACAGGCAAGTTGCTTAACCCCTGTGCATCTCGTATCTTCATCTGTAAAACAAAGATAATAATAGTAACTCAGAAGACCATGATAAGGGTTAAATGTATTGATATAAGTAAAGCACTTAGAAGAGTGCTGGCACATAGTAAACACTCAATAAATGTTAGCTATTATTATTATTTCATATGTGTTGATATTTTAGAAGTCAGCATATTTAATAGTTGTATATATTTAATAAATGTAACTAATATTTGCATTTTTAATGGTTCAAACATAACAACATATCTATAAAAATCTCTAGGTATTGTAACAAACATTTAAAAATCAATGTTTATTTACAGCCAAATCTCTACCTCCTCCTCCCGTGTCGGTACCATCTCACCCACCTCACGGTGATCACCAGGCAGTTGTCCACACAACCGAACACCCACTGGAGAGACTGGCCTCTCTGGGCCTCACTGAAGATCTTTGTGAGTCTGGCACTGTGTCAGATAATAGAGACCAAAGGAACCCAGACTCTGTCCAGCAGATCTTGAAGAGAAAATCTTTTGAATCTGAAGATATGCAGGAGTTAAGTCTGCCCTTTTCATGTCTGAGACCGAGTAAAGAGACTGGACTACAGAAATGAAATACTGAGAAAGGTTCTCACAGTTCAGCTTTTATTAAAGTTAAAGGAACATAAAGTATGGGAACCTAGAACACAATTCCTGTTAAAAGAATACATGTGAGGAACTGTGTCTTCAGCTAGCGCCGTAACTGATGGAGCATGTGACAAGTCTTCTTTTACAAACTCTGCTCCCTACCGCCCAAGCAGAGACCACCAGATCAAGGACCCAACCTATGCAGTGTGGTGTACAGGGTGTCAGGGATCAATTCTGCCTGCCTACGGACAACCACATGGACATGGCACCCACACAGACATACAAATTCAGTGTCTTGAATCTTCTTTCAAAGAAAGTATTTTACACATCACATACGAATTAAACAAGAAGTCCAACAAGGGTCCTTATTGCCACTAAAAAGGGGGGAAAATAATTTGAAATCTCATAACCAAAGGCAAGAACACCGCACTAGGGCACTTTGTTGCTCCAAATGCCACTGTCCCATGCATTACTGCCTTGGCAGATGCTGTAGCTACAAGTCACTGAGCCCCATGATGGAGGATGCACAGGGGCTCTGAGGTTGTGATTAGCCACTACAGAAGAGGCCTCAGGCACTCCCAAACGTCAGAAGTGCTGCCGGCTCTCCTGCTTGGTCAGTAGATACACAGCACAGTTGAGTATGAGGGGCTTAGGACTCTAAATAGTGCAAACACTTAAAAAAAAAACAAAAACAAAAACAAAAAAAACACATTCCAACCTCCTCGCTTCTCCAGGCAAACAGAGAACCTCCAGCTAACTGGATTATGAATTTGCTCAACTTCCCAATTTGATCTGTCAAGGTGCAAATGGGGAGCAAGCGTGGAGGCAATTCAAATGGCACCTGTCCCAATAATAATAAAAATAAAGATTTCTTAAAATGAGACTAATTGGCAGATAAATACACAAAACAGAGCCTGGAGTGTAGACACAGCTCAAGAAACAAGTAAGCTGTAAGTGTAGTATGAACATCTGCAAAGCACATGCTGATCACATTCTTAGTGGGGATCATGAGGAATGAGCCCTCTTTTAAAGTTCATCGACAAGATGCTTCCAGAAGGGACATCATCCAGCAGCAAAAGCCTTAAGCCTGAAGCTCCGAAGAATAAGGAGACAGAAAAGAATGAAGGCTAGTCAGCTCGATCTAGGAAAACTCCCGGGACTATGCGCTGAAGGGCAGGACTCTCCCTGGGCTTCTCCATGCCACAGCATGCCAGGCTCTGTGCCAGGCCGTGAGAGATGCCAGGAGATGGGCCAACCAGAGTCCCCCCTGCCTCACCCTGCCAAAAACAGACTCCAAGAAAAGCAGATCGGCAACATAGATGTGTAAGTGCTGAGTCAGGCTTAATGTTAGTCCCTAAACAATTCAGTAAACACCAGTGATTGTGTTTTTTCAGCAATCTCCCTTGAATGTGGTGTAAGAAAGAAGCTTCCAAGTCAACCTGGAGCTACTGAAGTTTGGGGAGGGTGAGAAACAAAGGGAAGATAGCTACAGGCATGAACGATGTTTGAGAGTGAATGATGCATAGAACATAACATTTCATTATCATGGACAATAAAAAGCAATTCAAATATCGTGAAAAATTACTTTATAAAAATATCTACATTAAAATTTTAGCCTGAAAGCTGTAGCTTCAGTTTTATAAAAAGGCAATCTTTGAAAGGATCTGGCTCAGGAATATACAAACATTATACAACAGATATCAAAGTAAGACAGCTCAAAAAGCATCTTAGGGGATATTGCAACTGGTCTGTCATGAAATAGAATTAAGTATTCTTATTGCATAGCAGAAAATGAGGTCACTTTCATTTGCATAATACTGCAACTTATTAGATGGAGAGATGCCATTGGGTACTTATGAGAAAGAACTTTGGAATTCAGAGTCTGACTTCTCTGTTGTCCAAATCAGAATCCAAATGGTGTCTAAGCTGCTTCTAACCTTGGGCTGCAATTCCATTTCATCGCTGTGATCAGACTTCAGATATCCCACAGGCAAAGCTGCATTCACAAGCAGGTGTGGCCACCAGAAGAGGGGATGCAGGGGGGTTCACCTACCACATGACCAGCACAGACGTGAAAATAAGTCTGTTGTGCCCACTGTGGAGAGAGAATTGTACCTGGTGATAAAGGGACAGCAGGTTTTGGATGGCATCTGTGGGCAGCTAGAGCAGATTGGCTATTTGGTGATGACGTACCAGTGTTCTAGTCCCCGTGAGAAAGGACACATGAGGATAAAACGAACATGGCCTCAGCAGCACTACCAGCAGGGGCAGTGCTTCCTGGGAAAGCGGACGTGAGGTGGGGTCAATAGCAAAAATCCAAAAGCAGGAAACACAGCTGGCTAGCTCTCAGGGAGGGGATCCTTTCTGGGAAGATGACACACAAACAACAGCCTCCCCCCACATAAGCATGATAAGCCTGGAAGTTCAGCTTCCAGGTGTTGGGGGGGAACTTCACCTTTCGTCTGAAATCAGGAGCTGTGTGATGGCACACATCAGACCCCAACCTCATCCCCCACCCCACCCCCCCCACACACACCCTGAAACAAAGTCCCAAACCTTCCTCGGAGAGGGAGGAAGAACATTTGGAACAGAAAGCGCATTCCATCAGCTTCCGATCCAGAGGCAGGCAGAGCTTTGAGACCACAGTCACCTCCATGCCAGGTAAGAGCAGAACAAACCAGCTAACAGCATGTCTTGATCCCTTTGGAGCTGTTCTTCCAGGTCCACCAAAGCTGGATATTTCAGCCTCTGCCCAAGGTTACTAAAAATTCTGGGTACCTTGGTATTCTCCAAATGTCTCACTGAAATAACATCTGCTCAACATCAGAAGATGTTTCCCCTTCAGGGGAGTTGAGTGGTTCACGCACAATAAATATACAGTAAATACACAAAGTGTCCAACTCGCTGGGGAAAGTCCTGGGTTTATAACTTCAGGGTGAAGTGGGGAGAATGACAGTCTCCTATAAAACCGGCTTGGAAGTTGCCCAGTTGTATGAGAAGTCCACCATCAGAGTTCATAAAGCCCCTTGGCTCCCTAAAGGTGGACCTTGACATCAGGAAGGGTCAATTCCAGCCCCCAAGTTGTGAGACTCTTCTCCAGACACAAGACTTCCCCTCCTTATGCTGGAAATTCCAATATAAGCAACTTGCTAGTTCAGGGACAGTACAGCTTTAAGGTTCTTTCTTTTTTTTTTTTTAAATGCAAACGACTCCCTGAGCCCTCAAATACCCTCCTCCGGATGCCTGAAGGTCTGTCATTAATCATTTTTACCTGTGAATTAGCAAAGCTTTCTTCAAGCTCCTCTCTCAAAATGCAAGTACTCCTGAGAGAGATCACACATTCAGGGCCCACCACCATGTCCTCCCCCACGGGGGAAGCTAGGAGGGGGAAGTTCTGAGGATTGGCGAGAGGGTACAGGCCTGGAATGGGGGAAGAGCACAAGGAAAGGAAGACAAGGATGTGAGACAGACTGGACCGACTGCCGAGGGCCAGGCCCACGGTGCCAAGTATACACCCCTTTGAATTCATCCATGTCCATGTAAATCACATGTGACCCCATCCAGCGCAGGGACAAACCTATCTTTGGGTTTGGAGGTATGGTGATCTTTTACTTAGCCTCCAAACCAGAACACTTTTGAGAGTAAAACGGGATGCTCTGAAAAATTAAACCTGGATAATAAGTATAAACAGGGACTGTCCTATCCCAGGAAAACCCAGAAGTAGGATCCTCTCTGGGACCACTATGGACAAGGACTGAAGCCTTAACACTTTGTTTTCTTATGTTTTTGTTTTTCATGTATTTTTTTCCTCCAGTGTGTTACTCAGTGCTTCTCTGAAGAGCTAGTTTTCCCAGCTGAAGAGACACGAAATCTCCCAAACCTGGAATCCTTGACCTCAAAGACCAGTAGCCCAGAGACTGGGCAGTTCTGATAAGAAGTTCCAGGAGAAGAGCCCAAGGAAGAGCACCCAGCTGAGGGGCTAGAGAACCTGTGGTCCTAGTTCTAGCACACAGAGGACATGGGGCAGCTTCGAGAACACCCCACTCTTCTGCAGACAATGCCAGTAGTCTAGGCCGGTACATGGGCCTGGTCATTTCTGGACATTCCTGGTATGTCCAACTGCACTTCCAGTAGACAACAGCTCTAGTAGTCTCAAGGTCCCCATGGGGCAAATCCATAAGAGAGGTTTCTGTGATTTGATTTTTAGCATAGCGGAAGGATCAGTAGTATAGAAATGGAGCAGACCATCACCACCCCCCAATTTAGTGAATCACCACGTTCTGTGCACACACACACACACACACACACACACACACAGGTCCCAGGTTCTCTGATGTCCCTGTAGAAACACACAAAAGAACGTTCAAAGGTGCAGCTGGAGCTATCAGGAACCCACTGCTCAGGGCAGAGGACGAAACACCTTGCGGGAGCAGGAGGTGGGTCACTGTCGTCCCACCCTGACGACACTGCCAAGTTGGAGGAGGGCGGTCCCCGCTCCTCTGCAGACTCCGGCAGCGAGTGGCACCCAGCCAGCGTGGTCCCACTGTGCCAAGTCACAGGCAGCACCCCTCCCTTCCTCCACCTCCTGGCAGCGGGAGTTGGGGTCACAAGGGCTTGTGAATCACAGCAACACCTAAGATGAAAGGGGGAGAAGGTTACCATCTTAGCTTCTCCGAACTTATTCAGAGTCACAAGGAGTTCATGACCCACAACATCCCAAGCCATAACCAAGGGAAATGGGCACGATTTGTACCCAAATACTGAAGGGCCTGTGGACTCAGGCTGCCAGCAGCTGGCTGTTTCCCGCTCTAACAGCCCAGTCTCCACAAGATGTTTAAACACAGAGCACAGTCCCTCAACACCACAGGTGAGTGATCTCACCCCACATCATCACACCGACTCACATCGTATCGTAGTGACTCCCCTTCCCAACCCCAGCACTCGCTGTAATGACACTCGGCACCTGCACTGGAAACCTCACAGCTCTAGATCTGTATCACTTTAAGAGAAGCGATGAGTGATACATGTCTCCTTTTAGAAGACACTGAAATGAAGTAGAAAGAACAATAGACTGACTTCATGGTAGCAAGAACAACTGAATTCCCATCCTAGCTCTGCCACCAGTCAAACTGCATTGTGGCTTCAGGCAAGTCCATGTACCTCTTCAGGCTCCATTCCCATATATTCAATGTTTTCTAACTGAAAGACCCCTCCAATGCTAAATTCTATACTTGGATAAACATTCTAGACATGTCTGTATGTGTTACTGTTTTGGCCAGGCTGAACCATACTCAACAGCTAACTTATGAGCCTAAAATCTTGCTTGTAAGGGGTTACAGTTATGCAGCAGATACTATAGGCTGATTCATCCAACATCCCCTCTACTTGCTGTCCTCTGCTATCGAGACCAGCAAGTTATGAGCTCAGCTTCCTAGACTACCTTGCAGCTGGAGGTGCTATGTGACCCAATCCTGGCCCGTGAGACTGTAACTACAAGTGTGCCAGTGCTGCAACTTTGGTTTTCTTCCTCGTGCTGCCTGGAAGAAGCTCACGCAGGGTGCAAGGGGCAGCCGCAGCAGCTATTCATAAAGCTGGCAGAACAGAAAACACAAGAGAGACCTGATTCTTCGATGACACTCTTGAGGCACCAGGCCAGCCCTGGACTCCTTTCTGCCTGGGACAAATACATACATACAAAAAAAGATACTTCCTTATCTAAGCAAGTATCTGTCAGTTTTTCTGGTACCTGCAGCTGAACCAAATTCTAACTTATAGTTAAGGTGTAGCTAGGAGCCTTATTTTAACATATTACCACCACTATCAAATCTTCTGGTTGAAGATGAGATTGAGAGAACATTGCTAAAAGAAAGCCCAGGACACCCCAATGGTGACATTCTGCTAAGACATGCATTTCATGTTAATTCCTGGATAAAGCCACAGACGTAAAAGATTAGAAGTGGGGAGAACCCAAGTCCTCAGACCCAGATGTGCTGCCTGACCTGGAGAACATCTTGCCTGCACCTGAGGCTCCTCTTTCTCAAGGGAGCATGTCTTTAAAAAGCAGGCTCCTGTATTGGTTCTTATATAAACTTTCTCTTCTGATTCTAAAACTAAAATATTCTCATTATGGAAATTTTGGAAAACACAGAAGAACACCAAGAAAAAGAACTTTAATCCCTACATACAAAGAGAGTCACCGTTAGCTTTTCTGGAATATTTTCTGGCTTACTAATAATAACCACAATCATTGACTGAGTGGTTTCTACCTGCCAGGCAGGCACCGTGCTAAGTGCCTTCCACGTATTATCACGTTTCATTCTCACAACAGCCCTAAGAGGCTTGATATGATTTTATTCTCATTTTACAAATGAGAAAACAGAGGTTCGGTCAGACTGACTACCTTGCCCAGAGTTCCAGGGCTAGTGGCAGAGCTGGGACTCAAATTCAGATGTGACTCCAGTATCCATTTCTGTAAGCAGGAGCTACTCTAACCCCCATGACCCAGGACTGCTCGACTGAGCTCACGCGGTACATACATTTTGCATCATCCTTTTCTCAACCAGTCTGTCACAAACATCTTCTCATATTAAAAACACGTCCACTGTATAAATATTCCACAACTTATTTAGCTATTTCCCTCATGTCAGACATTAAGTAATTCTCAGTTTTTTGCTCCAGTAAATAACTTTGTCCATAAATCTTTGCATTTTAGGCCATATCCATAGATTCTAAGAAAAGAGATTCACTCAGTCAATGGATTTGAACACAAATCGCACCTCTGCTCATCTCCTTCCCACCTACTTATGGGGTGGGCAAACAGTAAAGAAATGGACATGAAATATTCAGCACTTACACAAAATTCTAACTACTCACACCTGCACCTTCCCCTCTCATTAAGGCTCACGTGGAGGCAAGGTGGGATCGCTCACTGGCCTCACTGCCTCATACAGGAAAATGCCCTGTACTTCCCACTTCAGCTTTGGAGAGAAAATGACAGTGCTGGTTTTTAATAATTAACCATGAGAACAGAATCACTCTAGGACCAAAATGCCTCTAAAATCTTTTCTATTTAATTGAGAAAACTCCTAAACGAGAAAAAAATTTTTAAATAAGTTCATTAATTGAAGCCTTGGGCAGACAGAATGCGATACAAACCCCTTTGAGCCTGCATGGCATAATCTTCCTTTGCACTGAAATCCAAACAAGATGGAAAACGGGATAAGAGTACCATTGGAGTTATGACGGAGATTATACATGATAATGGTCATAAATACCTAGGATGATGCCTGGCCCATTGTCCATGCTCAATAAATAAACGTTAGCTCTAATTCTTCCAGTTTCTGGAGAACCAAATACAAGGAGCTGAGTTCTTGGGTTGGCCAAAGAGTTCCTTTAGTTTCTAAGTATAAATAAAAGACACATTTTTCATTTTTACCAAGAACTTTATTGAACAACGTATTCACCGTTTTGTTCCACTACCTTCTGACATTTTTCCGGCAACTTCATAATTCCACCTTCCCAAAACCTTGTATCTTTTGAGCAAAGAACTGCTCCAGGTGCCTTTTACAGTCTTCCAGGGAGTTGAATTTTTTTCCATTAAAAGAATTTTGTAAAGACCTAAATAAATGGAAATCTGAAGGTGCAATGTCTGGTGAATATAGCGGATGAATCGGAATCTCCCAGCCAAGCTGTAACAGTTTTTGCCTGGTCACCAAAGAAACATGCGGTCTTGCGTTATCCTGATGGAAGATTATGCATTTTCTGTTGACTAATTCCGGACGCTTTTCATCGAGTGCTGCTTTCAGTTGGTCTAATTGGGAGCAGTACTTGTTAGAATTAATTGTTTGGTTTTCCAGAAAGCGCTCATAATAGAGGACTCCCTTCCAATCCCACCATATGCACAACATCACCTTCTTTGGATGAAGACCGGCCTGTGGTGTGGTTGGTGGTATTCATTTCGCTTGCCCCACGAGCTCTTCCGTTCCACATTATTGTAAGTATCCACTTTTCATCACCCATCACTATTTGTTTTAAAAACAGAATGTTTTCGTTATGTTTAAGTAGAGAATCGCACACGGAAATACAGTCAAGAAGGGGTTTTTTTTCCGCTTAATTTATGTGGAACCCAAACATCAAAGCGATTTACATAACCAAGCTGGTGCAAATGATTTTCAGCGCTTGATTTGGGTATTTTGAGTATGTCAGCTATCTCCCACGTGGTATAACATTGCTTGTTCTCAGTTAATGTCTCGATTTGATTGCTATCAGCTTCAACTTGTCTATCCGGCCATGGAGCATTGTCCAGTGAGAAATCTCCAGCACGAAACTTCGCAAACCACTTTTGACACATTCGATGAGTCACAGCACCTTCTCCATACACTGCACACATCTTTTTTTGCATTTCAGTTGTGTTTTTACCTTTCTTTAAATAATAAAGCATAACATGCCAAAAATGTTGCTTTTTTTCTTCCATCAATATTGTAAAATGGCTACACAAAAATTCCCCAGTTTTGATAAGTTTTTTTAAAACTACACACTGATATGACAGCTGTCACAATACAATCTAACAAAATTGTTTCAAATGATATTAAAGACAACTAACTGCTACTAGAGCCATCTTATGGAAAAGACGAACAAACTTTTTGGCCAAACCAATACCTCATAGATACCTATGTTTGCTTGTCTCCCTATAGACCCTCAACCTCAGCCCCACTGACTCTGATCCTGTCCCCCACACCTCATCAAAACCATCACACACCCCACCAGGAATAAGCCTCTATAGCCGCCTCATTCCTCCTTCTTCCCTCCAGCCTCTTGCTTAGAATGCTTTTTCCCCCAACCCTGAGCTAGAGTAGCACAAAAGGCATGGGCTTGGGACTCAGACCTGGGTTTCAATTCTGACCCTGACATTTTTTTAGCCACGTGGTCTTGGGCAGATTACTTAAACATTCCAAACCTCCGTTTCATCATCTATAAAATGGAATGGAGTCTCATTCAACCAGAGGGTTGCTGAAAAGATAAGAGTGTATGTATACACTGTACCTAACAGACTGCTTTGTGGCCCAGGGAGTGGGCAGCTGGCAAAGGGCAGCTACCTCTATGACTGTGACCCACCCTCAAAGTTTAATCAGGCTCCACCTCTTCCAGGAAGTGTTCCCTGACATGTCATGTCCTAAAGCCTGTGCAGTACATTTCATTTAGAACTTACATGTACATCATCTTGTATTTCCTATTTTTGTAGGTAGGTCTTATCTTTCCAATTTAATTTCTGGAAAGCAAGAACTGTATCTTATTCCACCTAGGGGCCCAGCACAAAACAAATCAGGAAGGGCAATGAAATTCTAAAACCTCTTATGACAATTCGGATCAGTCGGAAGTGGCTCCCTGGAACACTGTGTCAAGAAGAATTCTATGGCTACATTCAGCTTCGCTGGGGAAACGAGTGCTAATTATGGGTATCTGCCGTGGGCGCAGAATGAAGGAGTGGTGACATGTGACAATCATCTGCCATGCCTGAAGGAGGCACTCAGCCCCAAGTTAAGCAAGCTAACCTAGCCCCCACCTGCCCCACCCCACCTGGGCCCCAGGATGGGGGTGGAGCACACTGACCTGCGTAGCTCCGCCCTGTGCTCATGTTGCTTGGCAGCAGCGTCCACTTGTCAGCGACAGGATTGTAGTACTCCACCGAAGCCAGGTTACAGGATCCATCATCCCCTCCAACCACATACAGGAGCCCATTCACTGCACAGACCCCTGGGGATCAAACAGAGGCCAGAGAAGGCATGACAGCAGGAGCAGCAAGGGGATGGACCAGAGACAAGTCTGGATGGCCCTGGAGGCTCTCTTCCTCCCCTTCCTGCTAGAATAACAGACAATTGGCTCCTAGGGTTTAAGTTTGCTCAACGGAGGAACACACAACAGCCACTGGGATCTGAGGATCCCCCTTCCTAACAAGGTCATGTCTCTGACGAGGGAGCTTTCACGACGACATAGCCCCACAGATGTTCCCTGCCCTTGACCCTAAGAATAGGCAGAGCACTGTAGGTACAGACCCCATTCTACTGCAGCACTGCCCACTGGTGCATGCAGGCCTCCCACGCCCAGTCTGAGCTACGTGTGGAAGGAGACAACTCAGGGGATTTCACGTACACTACTTCTACTCTGCTTGTTAGCTGTTCCCTGATAAACCATTTTATCCACACTGTGGGGCACTAATGGTTGTGTCTGTGATCCCTTTACACAACTGGGGTCTGAATCCACATACAGTTCCCAGGGAAAAGGCTTCCTACCCACTCTGATCTCAGAGTGAGCTGGTTTGGAGGCACGGTCTCATGTAGCAGGGACTCAAGAGTAGGAAAATGTAAGTACTGCTCATCAAGATTTAAAAGGCCGTAGTCCAATATACTGTGTATTTTTTCAAAATTAGACTCAGGGATTAACGATGCTCAAAAAGTAGTAATTATCAGTGTTGGTGAACATACTCTCAAATACTGGTGAGTATAAAATGCATCACCTTCCTGGGTGGTGTCAAAAGTACATACACTCCCTCTGATTCAAAAGTTTCACTTCTGGCCTTTTATTCTAAAGAAATAATTTTACATGTGTGCATTAATTAGCTATAAAGACTATTTATAATAACCAAAGCATTACTTAGAGAAAAAATGGAAATGACCTAAAAGTCCAATAGTAGCTCGGTTATTTAAATTATGTTATAGCCATTTAGAATAATATTATGTAAATATGTTTAGTGTTATAATAAGATATTCATAAAAGATTGTAAAGTGGATTAAAAAGGCAGGTTATAAACCAGTATTACAGTATGATTCCATTTTTGTTATAAAAAATAGAAATATCTATATGTGAATGTGTGTATACACATGCATTTACATCTAAACCTACTTCTTGAATTAGCTGCTTGAAGGTTCTGTAATTCCTCACTCGTGTGGCTCAAGGCCAAATGCCAGGTTATACCACAGCAGGCTTAGACAATGAGCAAATTAATAAACTCCCCTCTTTTTCTTGTTTACGTTTTCAACAAGTCAGCTGCAAATGGGTTTAGCAAGCAGGTAATTTGAGTATAAAGGAAATAAGTCTGCCTGAAAGTCACCTGCTTGTATTTCCAGCCTGGGAAATTGGGCTAAGCCAACACTATGATAGAGTAAGAAGGCATAAAGCAAGATATACCAACATAGGACACAACCCATAGGGCAAAGTTCTAAAAGGAAATGGTTTAATAGGGATGTCAGGCTCCAGGCATAAAAAACCTAAACACTCTAAGGAAAACCACTCCTACAGGAAGGAAAAGGGGGAGGGAAGGGAAGGGAAGGAGAGACAGAAAATACAAAGAAGGGAATAAGGAAAGTGGTCCTATTGGAGAATGGATCATGAATCCTTTCATGGATACCCTTGAAAGGAAGGAAATTGGTTTCTGGTGGGAGGTGAGAGGTTCCCATAGCCAGACACTGGCAAAGAAAAGATAGAACCAAGTATGATTGTCTGACACTGTCCACACAGCCCTATGCTTAGCTACCCAACAAAGCCACTGGGCTGGGGGCACAGATGGCAACCAGAGGCTCTTCTGGGTCTGTGTCCATCTATGTGCAGTGAAAGTCATCATCCTCCACTGGGAGGGAAGGAACCCTCTGCATCTAAGAGGGGGCCCTGTGAGGCGCCTCGTGGCTAGCTTTGTGGGTTCCAAGCTCTCCCCTGCCCAGCAAATGGACACTCCCTACTCAGGGTACAAGCTCAGCCCCAGGCCCTGGGAGCCTCTCCCCTCTGGCACTCTTTTAGAGCTAGTGTTTGCAGGGAGAAAACACCCACAACCTCCCCCGGAAGGAGAGAAGGAGGGAGCAGTCATATTACCTGCATTGCGCCGGCACATGTTCATGTCTGCCACCTGCTTCCAGGTGTTTGTTCCAGGATCGTAAACCTCGACACTCTTCCTCACCAAGGGCCCATCGTGCCCACCTGTGGCATACAGCTGCCCGCTGAGGACCCCAACGCCTGAAAGGCAGAGCACAGAGTTCCAGTCTCAGGCTGGCTGCAGCGACCAGAAACCAGGAGGCCTAGAGTCCAGCCTTGGGCAGCCATCACCGGCAGGGTGACAGGGGGAGTGCTGTTTTGTCTCCCTGGAACTCAGGGTCCTCGTCTATAAAACAAATATAATGACACCTACCTGCCTCATAAAATCAACTTGAAAACCGCCAAATATAAAGCAAATATAACCTCATTTCTATTCAGACACATAAAAATAAATATTATATATATAATATATATAGGTGTGTGTTTGTGTGTGCGTGCAGTAAAAAGAGTTGAAATGGAAACTACACAGCAGGTGTGCTGAGATCATTATTGCTGAGGCCTCCCTGCTTGTCTTGAAGCAGAAGCTGTTCTTTCTGCCCCCGTGCTCTCCTCCTTAGATGGCAGAGGGGCACTGAATCACTCACGATGGTGGTAAGCCTGAGCTGAGGGCCAGGACTGCATCATTTACAGGTTTTACCATAACCTTTTAACATCTAGAGGATGTCAAGGAAATAAAATCCAGAAAGCCCGAGGGCCTAAAAAGAGCAGCTGATGTGGTGGCCGGGACACCTGGGTTCTGGACCTGTGTCTCTAACCTGCCCGCCAGGTGGTGCTTCCCTTTCGGGGCCTCAGTATTCCAACTGCATAGTGAGGGAGCTGGACTAGATCGGTAGTTCCATTGGACCACAGACTACTCCACTGCGTGGACAGCTCAATTAGCTGGGGAATTTTTGAAAACACAGATTCCACAACCTCACTCCCAGAGACACTGGTCAGGAATCAGAAAAGGTACCTCAGGTGATTGGAATGTGCAGCCAGGTTTCAGACCCAAGGACTAGATTTCCAGAATATAAACTTCCTATGGACAAGAACCATGTTTGTCTTATCATGACTGTTTCCCTGTGCGTGACGGTACGTAGTAGGTTCTCAACAAATACTGTCTGAATGACAAGATGTGTAAAATCCCACCAGCAATTATGCAGGTGTGCAAATGGCTCCTCGCAGTTGCCCTAAACTAACAGCAGATGGTGGTGGTGTATCGACAGTGGCTATCTTACGGACCTGAGTTAAATAAAATTCAGTGTGTTCCCAAGCTGCCTCACCTTCCTCACCTCCATGTGCAGGAGGAACTAGCACATGCTGGGACCCAGAAATGGCCTCTTTTCCTCACAGCCATCTGCTAGCACTGCCCACACCCTGCTGAGGAAGCAAGCAGCCTTCCAGGCATTCAGGGGCACCAGTGCCCTTCTGCAGCCTCCTCTGCCAATGTTCACACAGAGCTTTCCTGGACCTAGAGCCACGGGAGTCCCTGCTGCCAGGGTCTCTGGGTCTTTAGCCACCAAAGAACACCTACCAGGACGAGTATGTGGGTTCCCAACCCCATATGTGAGGCTTCTCCAAATCTTAGGGATGTGAAGCACTAAAGAAAGGCTGCCCTGGGAGCCTGAGGCCAGAGCACTGACAGTGACCTGAGGAAAGAACCCACCTCCGGGAGAGATACCACCCCTTAAATCAAGGTCACTGTGCCTCGTGAGAGGCATGAGCAGCCCCAGTGATCTCCACTCAGCAATAACCCCTGGGCAGCCTGACAGAGACAGAGCAGCAAGGCCTCCAAAGGCAGCTCCGTCCACAAGATGAGCCTGAACTTTCTAAGGTGGGTCTGTGCTCGTGGCTCTGTCCGGAGCTGGCCCTCCACACTTTCTGCTTGAGGCACTCCTAGAAACAGCCACAGACCTCAGTGTGCTGCTCCACTCCCGCTGAGCTGTCCCTGCCTCCTTGGGCTTTGAACACTTTCTTGCACACCTCAAGTCACACACAGGATTTCCAGGAAATACAAAGAAGACTCTACCAGTACTGTAAACCAAAACTACTAAAAGAGCCCTATGATGGCAGGAGAACCAGAGGATCTGTGAATTGAACTGGGCCCTAGGTAACACCTATTGCAACCCACTCATTTCACATCTGAGGAATCAGAGGCCAAGACCACAGGGACATTCGAGCAGACCCAGAACCAAGATCCAGCCCTCCTGACTTCCATGCATTTGCTGCACGTTCAGGAAGGGCCAACCTGCTGGGATCAGCAGAGACAAGCTCCCTAAAAATAGCCTTCCAAACACAAATGTTTCTTAAATGGAATCATAGAGCATTTTCTTTTCTAACCAGTGAGCATACAGTGGTTCTTGGAAAATATTAAAATAGCATAATTTTTAAGGAATACTAAGGAAGTGGTCATGTGTTTGGTTGTATAAAATGAGATCACAACTCAATCTTCAAAAATACAAAAAGAAAGATAAAGTAATAACATGGTGGGGAAAAGCTCCCAGTTGTGGCTTCCCTTCCCAGAAGTCACATGGCCTTCCTGCCAGCCAGGTTGGTCATCAGTCACCACTCCCACAGGAACCGGGGGCAGAGAGCCAATGCCCGGCCTCCAGCGCCTCCATCTGCCCTCCCAGACCCTTTCCTCTGGGCCCCTAGATGATGGGGCAGGCAAAGCAGGGAAGAAGGGGCTGTTGCTCCACTTCCTGGAAAATCCCAAACGACCACACAGCTCCTGGCCTTCCCACAGGAGGCGGAAGTGGGCCCCATGTGGGGATTTATTCTCCTCCCATGCGGGGGAGGGGGCTGAAGTGAAGAAAAGTTGGGGGGAGACATAAGTTTATCCCCAGATATTAACACTAATAGCTTGGCTTTCAGCCCCCAAGACAGAGACAGGCAAGTTTAGCTTTTCCAAGGAAGACTGGGACAGCCATGCTTGTCACACTACTTCATGAGAATGAGACTCTGATAATCTGGGGTCCAAAAAATCTAACTTTAAAATGCAACAAACCTGAGTAGGAATCCCAACTTTGCCAGTGACTAATGATACGACCTTGGGCTAATTACTCAGCCCCTGGTTGACATACTTTCTAAATCTGTTAAGTGGAGTTATGTCGTGTCTACCTTGCAGGGCTGTGAAGAGGATTAAATAAAATGAGGCATAGAAAGTGCTTATTAGGACAGCACCTGGCACATAGCAAGCTTCACTTTTCAAGAGATGCAGACACCTCCAAAGAAATGGAAGAGATGACGATGAAGGGAATATGGTCTCATCTATTCTCTACCAAAGGGACCCCCCCCCCGAGAAGGGTTAACTCCTAAGTGCTTCTGTCAGTTGCAAAGATGCAAGTGGGATTATATACACTGAATGGAGAGAAGAGGGAGGGAAAATAAGGTAGAATGTTAAGCTCTTGGCCTCCAGACCCACCTGTGAGATCAGACACAGCTTGCCCCCTGACCTCGCCCCCCCCACACACACCATACCTGCGCCGCTGCGACGAGTGCTCATGTCTGCCACGTATGTCCACTCATTGGTCGCTGGGTTGTACTGCTCCACGGTGCTCAGGCACTGGCGGGAAGCCCCATCATAACCCCCAACGGCATATAGCTTCCCTGGAACAGACAAAGTGGCTGAGGGTGGTGCTTCAGACTCGCACAGAACTGGAGTGTGGCGGAAACTCCACTTGTAACCCACCGGGGCACCCTCACCTCCATCAGGGTTCAGGACCCCCTCCCCCAGGAAGACCACGACTCCCTCCCCAACCAGGGTAAGCATGCTTCACGACTCTGTCTCCTACTTCCTCTTAAGCCCTGAGTTCCTCCTCAAAGCAGTACTGACTGAACCTCTTTCTCAAAAAGCACACCCCAAACAGCCAGTGCAAAGCGATGGCCTGCTGTCACTGGGGCTCAACATATTCTTCCTAGTGAACTCATTAGATCTTCTCCAGAACAAGGCACCAGAGAGATGGAAAGCTTGAGGGCCCCAGGTGCAGCCAGACAGGCAGACTTTCTGGGTAAAGGCTCACAACAGCAGACAGAACAAATAAGGAAAAATATTCTCCAACAAGAACCCAAACATTGTCTCCTCCATGTTTTGTACTCTGTCCACAACCCAGGCAGGCAGAACGTGTGAATGGAGTGCTCTGTGTGCACTGTGGGATGGGTTGGCTGGAACTTATCTGCAGACCCCCTTGCAATCTCTGAGCCATGCACAAGACCCCTGAAGCACCATCACCTATTTTAAAAATAAAATACCATAAACGGCTATCAAAGAGCAACAGTTTGTTCTGAGGATGGCGGTGAGGTCGGGCAAGGGGGAAGGAAATTGGTATTTGAATGATCTCAGAGAGAGATTCAAACATTTGGGTTTAACATGTAGTCTTAGAATACAGTGGGAAGGTCTCGTGTGTGTGTGGGGTGTATGTGTGTGTTGGGTGTGGGTGTCCTACCTCACCTGGGGTCTCAGTCCTATGGGGGGACGCTGGAATTATAATAAGGATCTTAAACACTAGCTACAGACTAAATAAACACCACCAGATGCAAATCTACTTAACAGGGTTACTCAATCAAAAGATTTTTATGGTCACTATGTGCTTTCTTAATGGAGAGGTACCAAGAGTACAACCAGTATGTGAAAAATCTACAATCATTTTAAGTTAGAAAGAGATTCTCAGGCTCAGAACTATGTTGTACCATCAGGACGTTTGCTGCATCAGATGTAAAATTATTTCTTCTTCTATCATTGAGCCTGGGTTTGTGTTCTGCCCCCACAGCCCTCTCAACCAGCCCTTCTAGAAGAAAGGGACACCTCCTCCTGACTCTGCCCTTGCCTAAGCTGGAGGGCAAAATCCTGACTCAGAGCTCCCCCAGGACCCAGGCTACTCTCATGGTGTGTGCTGGCTCAGAGGTAACCACCTGCCCAGCCAGCTGTCCATCACTAGGGAGGAGACAGGCCTGGGGCGGGGAGGAGAAGAGAAGCTCCTGAGGGCAACCCCAGTCTCTGTAACACACGACCTCCGCTCTGCGGGGAGCTTCTGCCTCATCTCCCAGCCTCACTGTCCCTCTTCCCACGTAGAGACTCTTCAAGGCAGCCAGTAGCAGATGACCCTGATTTTCTTCCTTTTTTCCCCAGTGTTATTTAGGCTATGTAGCCACGGTAAGGAGACGATGAGAGGGAGGCAGGTTCTGTGCAGACAGCGTGCGGAGCTGTATCTTCAGGGCCACGAGGAAGGAGCGTCCACTTAAGATCCTCCCTGGACATTCTCACCAAAGCTGTCCATTAGACTCTGCTGCCCCAGGGTGACTCTCAGCCGAAAGAGCTTCAGATTCAGGTTGGACAAGATCAATAAATCCCCAGTCTGTCCTCCGGGTCAACAGGGCATGCTACCACACAGCACTTCTGCCACACAGAACATGCTCGCAGAAGGCTCTGTCAAGGGGAGTATTTCAAATGAGTACCAGGAAGGTATCTCCTCTAACCCCCATCAACCATTCCAACTCTGCCGTCAGCTGAAAAAATACCCACTCAATGTTTCTCCTTTCAAGCATACGCTATTTTTAACCCCAACTCTATTGTTTGATATTCCTGGCTAAGGAAAAAGGGGGGAAATGGGAAGGTGGCTAGACAAAGCACTTGCATTTGGCAGACAAATCAACTTCTGTTCCAATGGGAGGATGAGATTGCAAGAAACAATTTTATCTCAGTAGGAGGACAAAAATCCTTGCACTCACTAAGATGACTCATTCAGTATGTTAGAACAATATACTTTTAAATTAAAATTTAAACCACATAATACTGGTATGGACCAAGAAATGCAGCGAGAGAAAAGAATCCTTATATTAATGTCTAACTCACCGCACATTACACTCTCCCCGAAGCATGTGTATGTGTTGTGTGTGCACGTGACATAGAAAATGCCTGTGTACATGTGTGAATGCACAGATTTCCAGCTAAATTCCCACTTCAGGACAGGCTAATGAATCAGTGTTGTCCTGCAAAGTACAGCATTTTAGTCCAAATAATACTCTATGCTTTAATACGTTGAATTCATACATATTTCTAAAATGTCTCTCTATTAGCATTTGCTAATGGTCTGAGTTGGGAGTTAGAAGACCTGGGTTCAAGGAGTGGCTGTGCTATTTACTAGCACGGGGCACATTGATTACCCCTCTGGGACCAGTTTCCCCTTCTGGAGAACGGAGAAAAGCTAAGTCCTGCCCATCTCCTTCAGGAGAGTTTTAGGAACAAAATGAGAAATTGGAGATGAAAACCATTTAAAAACTACAGTGCACTGTCTAAACAGGCCCCAGACCTCACCATTCGCTCCTGTCTCACCGCACACACCTTTCCTGACTAGAGCAGGACCCACCAACCTGCCTTGTAGTGACTAATCAGGACTGGGGAAAGGTGCCCACCTCACTCGGGGCTCTGTTAATGCTTAACATGTGAACATGAGGACAAAATTAAACAAACAATTGACTCTCACCCCCTCCACATTATACTCCTGGGTTATATCTTGACTCCGGATTCTCCAACTCGTAATAGAGACAAGTGGCCAAAGCAACAGGCCAGCATCTCCCCTCTAGGCTCCTCCCACGCCCCCCAACCCAGCTCACCCACTTTCTAGCCTTGGGCCCGTAGCTTCACCTTTCTGAGTCTCAATTCTTCTCATCCGCTCATCAGGATACTAGTACCAGACTCAGCAGTAACGGGAGGAATAGAGTCAGGACACCAGGAGAAGGCCCAGGGGCCAGGGCAGGAACAGGCCACCACCCACTGCCGCTCCTTACCCTCTACGACACCCACGCCCACACTGCTCCGCCGTGTGTTCATTGGGGCCACGAAGAACCACTCGTTGGTCTTGTAGCTATAGGCTTCCACTGACGCCAGGCCTGGGAGACAAGAGACTCATGAGGTTTCTATGGTGCCAGGCCTCACCCTGCTGTGCGAACAGTGAGGATGGGGGAACAGTGCAGACCCGGGGGCTGGAAACCTGGGTGTATGACTCAGCACTACCTCTGCCTCACTGTGCAGCCCGTGGCACCTCCCTAAACACATCTGCACTGTGTCTGCCTGAGGGGACCACTAAGACCTGACCTAGAGGGTGGGCTGTGAGAGGCCCAGGGGTATAACGTAAACCATAAAACCGACAGAATGGAATAAATACCTGAGGTTGCCTCGCTGAACACCTATTCGATCCCTCTTTTCCCTTGTCTTCCTCTATTTTAGAGGCTGGAAATCTGAAAACTTGCCTTTCCAGAATCCCTTGGAGCTGTGGGTGACCAAGTCAATGCAATCTAAGCAGGATCTCTGAAACAGCCTTTGCTTTTCTGATAAGCCCCCACCCCCCTTCCTGCTTCTTGCTACCTAGAACACAAATGTGTTGGCTGGATATAACAGCCACCTTGTGACCATGAGGATAAGTCCAAAAGACTCTTCAGGAACTTGGCCCCAGTATCCTTGAGCAACTGGACGAAGGTGGCAACTGCCAACCTCTGAATTTCTTGTTTCATGAACAAAGCAAAAGCTCTCATTTGTTTAAGCCACAGTTTAATCAGGTTTTCTACTAGCAGCCAAAAGCAATGCCTAAAAGAAACAATGCCCCACTATCCTTTGTTCTCTTTATTCCCAGTTCCCACTCACTAGAAGCAGCCTCTGGAGGGGCTACAGATCTTGGAATTAATGAAACAGGCAAAGAGAAGGCTGAAAAAGGTTACCAATTGGTGAAGACACAAATGAAATTTCAGGGAGGTAAAATATATTGTTTTTCCTGTCACTGGGGGCCAAAAGATATCACTTTAGTTTAACAGAGTTGCTGTCAACAGAGACATCCACCTGGAGATAATCTCTCCAAGTCCATGTCCACTAGTAGTTTCTGATTCTCACTTTGGAGCTAGATGAAAGCCAGGAGCAAGGGGACGCTTCTGCAGTGGCACAACCTTGCACAGCTTTGGTGGGGCAGTAGAAAGGGCAATGGGCAAAGACTGTGTGACCTGAGCCAGGTCTCTTCCCATAGCTGAACCATAGCTCCCTCATCTGTTCAGAGGAGGGTTCAGACCACAGTTCTAAGACACCCTCCAGCTGAGCTTGCTCTAAGGCTCAACTCCGGAATAAATGGGTTAACAGACACTGGAAAGGAGAAAAGGGCCTCTTCTGAGGGTGGGGTCCTTCCTAGAGCCCTAGAAATGACAGCACGTGGGCAGTTACATATTCTGTGTGTAGGAAGGTGTGCCTCTGACACGCAAGCTGGGAGAGGAGGAAGGATGGGTATGTTCTTGGGGCAGTAGCTACAGAGGGACCAGCAGTTGGCCCAAGAAATGGCTGACCAAGCCAGGGTTGCATGGAAGGTGTGTCCTAGGCTGGATGGGGACTGAGTCCGGGACCTACCAGTACTGCCATCAAAGCCCCCGACGGCGTAGAGCAGGTCATTGAGCACAGCTGCTCCCAGCGTGCTCCGGCGCTCCTGCATACTGGCGATGGAGGTCCACTGGTCCTTCACCCCGTCATACACGTCCACTGTCCGCACACGCAGTGAACCATTGAACCCGCCCACGGCGTACACGTGGCCAGCCATGAACACCACACCTGAGGCACAGGAAACCAAGGCATCAAGGTCATCTCAGACGGCTGATGACTCACGTTAATGAGTGACAATGGGGGAACGAGGCAGGCATGTAAATAATTCACCATAGAAGGTGATCTCCAACTTTAGATATTTGGAAGTCACTATGGGACTCACTGGATTTCTTCTCACATTTGCATTTCTAGTTTTGTTTGATTCAAGCAAGTACTTGGATTAGCCTGAAGTTCCTAAGCACATGAGAACTGACCCCAGAAGGTGCAGCTAGGAACTGTGCAGGTGGGGAAGGGAAAGGAAGGGAGTGTGGAATGCACAGATGTTTTTGGAAACAAGGAGCAGGACTGTGGCACCCAGTAGAGACCTGCGGTGGTGGCAGGGGTGGGGCGGAGTGGAAAGGCAGCCTGCACACCGGGAGGCAGTGCGGCTCACCTGCTCTGCATCTCCTGGAGGGGAGCTCAGCAATCTGATCCCACCGGTCCTCCTCAAAATCATAGCACTCCACACTGCGGATGGCCTTGGGTGCCTGGCCGCCAACCACGATCATGACCTCCAGAAAGACAAGTGGACATTAGCTGGGTCTCCCCAACATCCAGATTCATGGGTCATCAATCCCTGTTACGTCCACATGCTCACTGCCCAGGGTCCGTGGATGATCTGAGATGCCAGTTTACAGAGCTACATACGTGAAGGTGCTGCCCCTAATCACCAACAGGTCTGAACATTCAAGAAAAGCCTAAAGAGCATCTTCCCACAGAAACACAACCATAAAGTCTACACTTCCCAAGTGCCCCTGCTCAGGGCTGTGTTGGGGGTATAGCCACTTGGGGCATCTTTTGCAATCTGAGTGTCCTTAAGCATTGGGGGCAAGGGGACTAAATTTTAAATCAAAATAAAATATTACCATATATATATCAAAATATGCATATATTTTGGAATAGAGTACAGAATTTGGATGCTAAGATAAAATTTATTCAAAAATATTTCTGAATGCATAGATTATAGGGAACACTTATTCACTGCAGTATGGGAAAAAAATTTGTAAAACACCGCTTTGTGGTGGTCACCACAAAAATGCATGTAACTGATGATGTTCTGAAAAAACAGTGCTATAGTATTATTTCCACAGGTAAGGTAGTAGCTACCACTGCCAGTCATCTTGTGAAGTATATTGTCATTTGTTTGTCACCACAACTCTGCAAGGTAGATATTATCGTCCACATTGACAGGTCAGGAAAGTAAAGCTCAGAGAACATAGGTAAATTGCCCAAGGTCACACAGCTAAGAGCAGCAGAAGAGAGACTTGAGAGCCAAGTGCACCTAACACAGGAGTGAGTGCAGCCCCACCTCTCTCCTGCTCCAGAGACAGGGTCTATGCCAGGACAGCTCACTACACCGTGTTTTTCAAACTGCAGGTCACATTTCATTGGTGGGTCACTAGATGAATTTAACGGGTTTCAACCAGCATACTTTTTAATAGAACAGCACAGAAAATATAGTAAGGATGTTATTTCATGAAATATTTGTTCTGGTTATACACACATGTATGTATCTCCTAGAGAGCAATTTAAACATATTTCTTAGCGTAGGATGTAGTATTTTAAAAAACAATGAAAGCCACTGTTCTGCCTGCAGCAACAGAACTTCAGCAGTTTACTGTGGTATCCCCATTGCTGTGACTTTTGTCATGTGTTATTAATAAATAAAAATTAAAGCACCAAAGTTAACAATAGTTTACATATGTCGGTAAGTCTACAGATTCATGGCTGTCCCCACAATGACTTCACTCTCACTCACTCATTCCAAGTTGCCTTAAGTGGAGAGAACGGGATAAAGTCACAGGCAGACAATCAACATAAGTCACAGGATCTTCTCATTATCTGTGGCTTGTCTTATTTACCACAATGGTTCTCAAACTTCAATGTGCATCAGAATCTCCTTGAGGGCTTGCTGAGACACAAATTGCTGGGCCCTACCCCACAGAGTTTCTGAGTCAGTAGGTCTGAAGCGGGACTGAAAATATGCATTTCTAACAAGTTCCCAGTTGATGCTGATGCTGCATTTCCAAGAGTCATACTTTGACAACCCCTGTTTTAACCCACAAACATAGAGATTTCCTGATGATGTGCCATCAACCATTTCTGCCGTTATAATTATCATAGTGATCTTTGCTTCCCTGCAAAGCATTTTTGGGGAGAAAAGTGATGATCAAAATCTGTGAGTGCAGCTGAACATTATCCACCATATAGGGAGACAGGTATAGGGCTGACAATCATTGCTCAAGATCAATTATTTATGACCCAAGATTCTAGATTCAGGCTCACCTACTGCCCATGTGGGTGGTCACTAGTCATCAGAGTTAGTCTATAGCACTTCTGTGACCGAATGTAAGTGACCAATGTTCAAAAACTCAGAATTCCGTTCTGACTTCTGGAACATGCCAAAGGAACCCAGGACACATAGTCCAGACTTAGAGCCGTTGGTGCCTCCATAAATAAATGTTCTGCATTTGACTTTCCTCTGCTCAGAAGGTCCACTGCCCTGTGTCAAGAGCAGCCCTTTTCAGAGAGATGCAGAATTCTACATTCCTTCCCATCTGTAATTCTTTGCTTAGATAGGCATCCATGAACAGTTCAAGGGGGATGTTAATGAACACAGCCTCTTGGCAAACTTCAGACAATGCCCAACTTATTCCTCCAGGGCTGAATGACCCGCATTCATAAACATACCTAGAACTTGTACTGTCTTTCTGGTTTTGAGTTGGTAAAGTTGAAATGAAGTCAAAACATTACAAGGATTTTCTTTGAAATCTGATTTTGTGGCTAACTGGGAATAAAACTAATTTTTAGTTTTCTTTCTGCAGTGACATCAAGTACCCAACACCCTCTCCTTGAAACACTCTTCCCCCATCTGATCCCCCCCCCCAACACCTGCTTATCTTTCAGGTCTCAGTTTACACGTCACTTCCTCCAAGAGGACCTCTCTGACCTCCAAAGCTGAGTTACAGGTCCTTTTCTGAGAGCACATATGCCCTGGGTTCTCCCATTAAAAGTGCCCCACACTGTGCTGTAACTGTCCAGTAACCTTGTCTCCCTTCTAGACAGTGAGCCCTGCCAGCGCAGAAAAATGTACCTGCCTCAATCACCAAGATAACCTTAGGGCCCTAGGGTACCAGGTAAAAGTGATGACTCAAATATTTATTTGGAATAAAGAATAAATGAATAGTAAAGACCACATGCAAAGAGTTAAATGAAAAAATACACAGTTACAGGGCTTCCCTGGTGACACAGTGGTTAAAAATCTGCCTGCCAACGCAGGGGACTCGGGTTCAAGCCCTGGTCCAGGAAGATCACACATGCCGTGAAGCAACTAAGCCCGTGCGCCACAACCACTGAGCCTGTGCTCTAGAGCCCATGAGCCACAACTACTGAACTCACGTGCCACAACTACTGAAGCCCGCGTGCCTAGAGCCCGTGCTCCGCAACAAGAGTAGCCACCGCAATGAGAAGCCTGCACACCTCAACGAAGAGTGGCAACCACTCGCTGCAACTAGAGAAAGCCCGCACGCAGCAACAAAGACCCAACACAGCCAAAAATAAATAAATAATTTTTTTAATTAAAAAAAATACAGTTAAATAAAAAAAAAAAAAAACCACAAGCTAGAATGTCTCTTTCTTGGGTTAAAACATGTTAGACACCAGATTACAATTCTGGGGACAGAATTTGAGGAAAACAAACAAAGAGAGAAAGAGAGCTTTTCCCATCTTTTGACTCAACCACCAGAAGGCTGTTTATTCTTTGCATAAGCTATCAAGACCTCTTCTATAAACAAAAAAGGCAAAGCTTCAGGGGACTTAACCATGTCCCAGAAACCATCTTCCACCAGGGTAGGGAAGTACATTCATACTGGAGAAAATCCAGCACTCATCTCTGAGAATTTTCATAATAACACAGAAGCGATATTATAGAAATGCAAAAAATTTAATGTTAAAGTAACACCTGCATAGAAAGACAAAAAAGATACAGAACAAGGTTTTCAAAATAAACTTGCCTTTGAGCTTATAAAACCACTGGTGAGAGACGACTTCTAAAATTCCAAACTTGTACAATAATCTAGGAAGAGCAATTATGAGGTTTCGTGGGGGTAGGACCATTGGTTTCTGAAAATGTGGAGGTAGCTCAAGGCAGAGGGAGGAGTAGGTATACTTTCTCCTTCTCTCGTAGACATGAGAAGTCCAATTTCTATGGCAGGTCTTACAAAAAGCCATCATACAAGGAGCAATACGGTCATCAATGTGTAATTGTACAGCATAAAAAGAATACATTTCCTATCTTGACTACTAACAGATGGTTGTTTCCATAGATACCTGATTTTAGCAACCAATTAGACAAAAACGAATATTCCCCAAAGTCTACATGTATTACACCTCTGAAACTGTAAACCTCCAGCTACTCAAGTCTCTTCTTGTCAGGGCAAGAAGAGACTTGAACCGTTCTTTCTTGCAAGCCCACATTTGACATTTCCAGAAAAACTCAGGCCCAAAGACTTCAATAGGCATATTTCTTTCTTCCCCTGACACCCCTAAGTCCCACTTTACTAAAGATGTGTAATGTCTTTAATAGAAATTACTGAGTCAAATCAGCTTATTAAATGATCACTATGTTTAACATTTATCCTTCAAGGTAACTCTGAGTAAGAACTACCAGTGATCATATGGGAATCATAAAATACTAAAGAACTAGTTCCAGGCTAACAATTATGCTAGACCAAACATAACCTCATCACACTCAAGGACAGCAATGTACTTGGGAGCCCTGCAGGGCACCCAGGGTCCTGACCCCAAGTCTCAGTCATCACTGTGTTAAAGGCTGCAGACCTCTTGGTGAGTGGAGAGTTCTGGGTGACACAACACTGGTGAGCCAGACTCGACTGTGCGGGACATGGCTACTGGACCACTCCCAAGGAAAACACCCTCATTTTAGAAAGTCAAATGGCCATTTACTTTAGGGACATTAGTGAGACCATGTAAAGACTACCTGAATCCTTGGGAAGGAAATTTCACTCCCAGCATAACAAGACGGTTTTTTTAAAAAAACATTTAACACTGTTTCTTTCACTTGGATGAGTCTGAACTCCACCAGTGTGACTGTGTCAGTGCAGGCATGTTGGTCCCTCCTCACAACATGACAACTGCTCTGTGTCTGAGAGCCATCAGGTAGCAGAGACTAGCCAGGGGAAGGGCACGAAGTGAACAGCGCAGAGCTTCCCAGCCCATTTGTGCATCAGGACCCCAACCCTAAGTCATTAGACTCTGCACTCAGGGGAGTGGAATGACCCAGGCTCTGTACACCTTGTTCATCAGGCAAGAGTAGAGTGTGTGTCCAAACTCTCTTCCATGACCGGTGAGCTGGGCAGAAGGCAGGCCCAGCCAGTCGGTCCCTCGGGCCAGGGCAGGAAGCAAGAGTCTCTCTTACCCTGGTGCGTGGGGCCGCAGGGCTAACACCAAAAATTCATCCAAAGGAGCATGTCGAGGTCGAGGCAGAAGACTT